AACAAAAACACATTTCTAGTCCATGGCAAATAAAAATGTAACAAAATATATATTTCATTAAATACAATTTGGCAGAATGTTAAAAACATGATGATTTTCAATGGAAAGTGTTTGTTATTATACTCGAAAACATTACAGAAGGTGATAGATTGTTTGTAAAAGACATGCTAAAACAAAATGAAGACAAACGAGGCTCAATGGAGTTAACGCTTTGAAATATTTTTCCAAATGCTAATCTACCTTCTTTCCCTTGCACATTGTATTATATAATTTTATGAAACAAGTATATAGATATATATCAAAGGCATACTAAATGATGTTTCTTACTCTTCAAATTTCCTACGCAGACGCACAAATATTCAAGGCATGGCATTCTATCCACATTATAACGGAAACAGGATACTTCCCCATGTCAAAATATTTTGGAACCTACATGAAAGAATATGCATTCCTGCCAGTTATAATTTACCTTAACACATAAAGTATATGTATTTCGTATGAAGGGTCATATTCATAGACTAAGTAAAATTTAAATAAGATTTATCTAAATGTTGTTCTGATCGAGTTACATGTGAATGTAATATTTATCTTATGTAGCGAATAAATGGTTAGATTGTGAAAACTCTGTACATATTTATTGTAGAAAAGTAAATTGAAAGTAATATAAATTGACAGATTATAGCATTTTTAGCAACACAAATATTCTCAATATAAATGTATGTGTCCAGATGAGGACTTCATCATTTCCTAACACAATAATTGATACTTGCATGTTGATTTGATATTTATTTGATGATGATTCAGCATGTCATATTGTTCTGTTAAAATGTTGTTCTGCACTAGGCGAGACGGATAAATAATATCAATATTATCTAATCAGACAATGTTTCATTTTTACCATATATTTACACATCAAAACAGCAAGTTTCAAGTGTTATATGCGGCAGCCGTAAAAAGTTGCCCCGTACTTTACTTCAGTGTTGTTATATTTTTCTGGACTTTCGGGATCGTTGAGTGCAGCACTTTTAGTGTTGAGAATTGAGTTCCGCTCAAAACAGTGCTAGGGGGCGTGAGGGATGTTGCATTTTATCACTATCCCTCATGTACAGACTCAATCTGAGTCTGCAATTTTGCTGTTCTTAATGGTTTCGAGGGATCACTTTTTTCCAGATATTTATACATAAAAACAGCGGGTGTTAAGTGCTGTAGTGTGGTAGCCGAAAAACAGTTGCCCCTGACTTCACTTCAGTGTTGTAATATTTTTCTGGTCCTTCGGGATCATTGAATGCAGAACTTTTAGTTTTGAGAATTGAGTATCCCTCAAGCGGTGGTAGGGGGCGTGAGTGATGTTGCAATTCATCATTACCCTTCTTGTACAAATTTCATTGAACCGAGTCAGCAATTTTCATGTTATTTTGCTGATTTTAATGCTTCCGAGGGAGATATTTAATTAGGACAGCACCTCATTTAGGCCTTTAGGCATGATTTTATCAATTTCGCGGATTACTAAGTAATCAGCGATAATTATAAAAGTTTGAATAAAATAGTTTGCTCAGTTGGAACGTTACACATGCGTGCATCTAAATCAAGTAGATATTTTGTAACCATAACGTTCTCACTTAAATCATCACACATTCGAAAACGAGGAATTAAAATATTAGAACTTTTTTTATTCATAGAGCATTTTCATTTTCGTGAAATGTATCACTAGTTGAGTGATGGTTATTTACATGTAGTGAAATTGCAAGACGACACTTTTAATTGTTAAAAGTGAAAGAAACGTAAAGAAATGCTGCAAAAATGTGCAAAATGATATGAATGATCAGTTTTGATTCCTTACAGTACATATGAAAACAATGATCAAATGACAGGGTGGCATTTTATGAACGCACCCTTAAACAGAATGCACCGGAAAGAACACCAAACAAAAGCAAAAAAGAGACGGGTAGTTTTAATGAATATAATGATTAAATAATTAAATTTAAATAATAATGATAGATAATTTAAATTAGGAAAACATAAAAAACAACCGACAACGATATTAAATTATGCCTCAGAAATGCTTCTATTATTATTTCTTCAAATCTTTTCATTGTTGGTGTAATTTTATAGTTTTCAAAAAGTAACTCACTGGCCAGTTATCTGGGCCATCCAAAAATGGGAAACAATCTAGGGGAAAGGAAAGGCAAACATGTATAATATTGTAATTGTGAATTAAGAACATTTTAAAATCTCATATACTGAAGTATATCAGCATGTGGATGTTAAATAATTTCTGAAAAAGTAAGCATAATCGAAACAAAGTAGTTTTTTGACTTCAGTACAAAATATTTCAACTAAATGGAAAAAAACGCAAAGGGAGCAAAATATGACACAGATAATTGACAGGACATCAAAACTTTAAATAGAAATTTTTGATAGAAAATGAAAATATTACCATTTACATTTGTATATGGTTCTTTCATTACATTTTATTGACCTATTATACACTCTCGTATGAAATTAACATGTGCATCATTTCCAGGAAACATCAACCAACGTATAATCATTGCTGTACAACATTGAATCAGCATGCATTTATTCATTCTCAATTAACTATTTATTTTCATAATACAAAAAAACCTTCTCTTTGAGGTTAAGAAGGTTTCAAAACGCATGAAGCTATCAAATTGAATAACGCTTGTTGAAGAGCTTAGTTTATCATCTTTGAATGTTACTTAAATGTACACGTGTGAACTATATCATATTTATTTATTTATTATCTCTGAGTTCGTCGGAATAGTAAAAACCAGGAACTCATTTTGCCTCAATATACACATCACATATTTCATGTGCAAGTAAAAACTAAATGATGTATTTTGTAATATGTTCTTTTTCTATCTTGCAATAAATGAACAGCAATTATGCTTTGATATATTACTTAAACTGCTTGTTAAGTAATTATACTAATCTTGTTGGTAGAGTTTTCAAAGCGCAAAATAGACACTAACAAATTACCAGTCAATTTATAGTTAGTTTTAATCTTTGTACCATGTGCTTCCGTCATATTTCTTGCATGACTTATAATGGCTTTGAATTCATGCACATCATTTTCCTCCGAATATTAATGAAAACTCTTGTTAAACAAAAGCAATAAAAGTATTTAGAGTAAGTTTCAAATTTTAAATTTGCATCGACACATACAATCAATACCTTTGCATATGTTCAATAGCTTTAATTATTTATCTAATTTTGTAAATAACAGAAATGATGTAATTTAAACCTATATTCTTTAGACTTACAAAATCAGCGTTGAAATAAACTGTGTACTCATCGTAAGTATTAGGTCATGCATTCAATAACAAGAGTATACTAAAATGTTGAAAATGTTACAATGTATACATTATAGCTGATTTATGATATATCCGTTGTGTTTGTAGGTTTCTCAGATTCTTTGGAATGTGTTGCCTTTTCGCCTTATCTTTAGCATTCGTTATTAGCTTTACGACATAGCAACATGTTTACGATATAGTTCATTTATTAAATAATTATTCTTATCTAATGAGTTGTTTGTTTGAATTGTAAAATGGTTAGAACATAGGTATTTCATACGTCTTTATGGTATATTAAAGCTTAAGCTACTGTTTTAAAAGAAATGTTTAAATACATTTAGAAGTAGTTTTAAATTAGTGTATACAAGTAACTATGTATTTAGTGGTTTTTTATATTTTTTTGTTGGTCTGTCAGGAGTATTGCGTCCAGTACATTAAGTGTTTAAGATTGAATACCGCTGAAGCCGGTACTGTGGCTTGAGGGGTGTTGTATGTTTCCCGTTTCCCACTCGAACTGATTCAATCAGACATATGTAATTTTATTGTTTTATTGCTTCTGATGGATAATCCCTTTTCCAAATTTGTAAATTTGTTAATGTCTTTCTTATCTTACATTAAGTTGTAAACTATTCAAATATTTTATATAAGTTATGTTCTAAGGTCAATGATAATTTTTTACTTTGTTCTCGATTAATCTATTTTCATTTTCCTTTAAGAAATTTAATAGCATTGTATTGTTCCTTATAGTATTTAAATGGACGAAAAGAAATGATTAGGTCAGGAGAAATAATTATAAAGGAATTCACACAAATGTGGTTAAAATAAAATCTACTTCAAAGGTTTGTGTCTAGCAATATAAACAGTAAATGTAAACTTAAAGGAGAATTTATGTTCAATTAGCCGCCTTTCATTTCATGAATGGTTTTCTGAAAAATCATTTATTTGAACAGTAAATATTTATCTAATGGCGACTAGCCAAGTAATTACAACAACGTTCGCATATGAAAGACACATGAATATTTCTAAAAATAATGAAAGAGACAATTGCTTTAGACCGATAGACCCCACATCTGTCCTAAGATACTGTCTTGTATACAATTTAACTTAATGCAAAATAAATGAAACAGGATTTTAACTTAGTTCATGTCATTTGCACAAACCATTGTAAACGTAAATTACTACAAATGTGAACTTTTTAATTCAAAACAATAAAGTCCAGGTCCTGTGTTCACTAAGTAAGATCAGGGTCAGGATCAAATGATTCTGATTTTATTTTCATTGTTTTATATAAGTAATATTGATCTTATTTATGTTGGGATAAAATCGATGAATTACATAACAAATACAAAAATAATCAGATCAAAATAAGAATCAATTTTATGATCAAGATCAATATTTGGATCAACTGTAAAATGCCTATATCTTGCAAAAATAATAATGAATTTATTCTAAAATTTCATAAACATACTATTTCAAGTCCAATTTATCATGTTAATATTTAAGATAAACAATGGAGAATATTAGAGTTTTTAGATTTGATCCTGATCCTTAAATTTTTGTGAACACTGGCTCTGTCTATTTTCAGTAATTCAGATGTCCAACTATTATTACGGCGAGTCAGACAAGAAAATAATATTGCAAACTAGTTTATTCCTATATTATTAAATCTCCTAGAACGTGAAGTCTTACCTTTGCACTAGATATATCCTATATGAATAAACCTTTTTCTGCCTTTAGTATTCTGTAAAAGAAAAAAGTACAATTTTAGTTCGAGATATATATGTACTCGTATAAGACATTGAAGTTTAAATAATATGAATGTATTTGCTAAAATCATGTAAAATCATTTTTTTCTATCATTAAACATATTCACCAAAGTCGTAAACCTAGAAATATTAGAAACTTAGAAATCTTTATTGTATGGGAAAACATCAACCACAAAAAAAAATTTAATTACAAAAAACCTTTTGCAGTAAGTTATCGAAAATGAATCATAACTTTCATTAATGATATTTAGCTGAAACTGCACAGTTTTGATTTTATCGATTTCATTACTTCAGTATTACAGATCACGTGATATACCATGCACAGTTCAAATTTCATCAATGAACTAAATTGCGACATACATACATACATACAAACAAACAAACAAAATAACATCCCGTGAAGAATACCATTACATTTAAAAGATAATGATAGTAAAGTTTATTTCATTACGCTGTTTGAAATAAAATGAAAACAAACAGTTTGATTTTCGACTATTTGGCAATATCTTTATTACTTTGCACGGCAATAACAAAGTGACATTTTCTATTTAAATTTGAAAAGTAAGTCTATAAATTGCATATCCTGGATTATAAATATAGAAGTTAAATGCTGGAGCTGATATAAATGTTTACAAAGATGTTTAAATGTCTTCATGAAAGACAATAAAAGATGATGAATGTCACAAATTTCTGGATCGATTAGATGCATGATAAAATGGGTATTGTATATAATTATAACAGTGATTTTTATGTATATAAACAACCTTTGAATACTGAGGGAAGCAATAACAGGCACAAGGCAACCATCATTTAATAAGTTCAACCATCATTATATACGCAATTTTGTATAACTATGTACACCTACATTTTCAGTCGGATTGTTTAAAATACGTATTATCGCTGAAAACTGAACTTGACCCAACCTCAAAACGAAGACTGACTTGTCTCAAAGTGTTAGTGCAGTACTAAGAGTTGTATATCTACCTCGACTACTTTATACTACAATATACATTTTTCAAGAAGTATATATATATTAAGAGATTAATACACGACAGAGTAGGGCCGGAAGGTGATAATCGGCCCGCAAAATGAATAATGGCCCCGAGGGCTTCAGCCCGAGGGCATTATTCATTTCAGGGCCGATTATCACCTTCTGGCACAACTATGACGTGTATTAATGTCTTTAATACACTTGGTAGATCTAATAGTAGCATTTTTCTAAAACAAATACTTTGATATTTCTTTCGTTGAAATTCCTGTCTGTACTTCTACTGTACAGTTATTTCTACAGAGTTGTTTACTTTTTATGTGTACAAAGTACACTAGAATCTAGAAGCAAGTATTATTTTCATTTTTTTTTCGGAATGAATTTATCGTATTAGATCTATTTATTTAAATTTCAATAGTTAAAAAACTGTGTTTGTACGAAATTCGCCTTTAAAGCATCAAGCGATTCGTTTCACTTTTACAGTTAACTGTTTGATGACGTAAAATCTGACGTCATTTCAGTTTGTGCACGTGTATTAGTTCTGCGGGCTGATAACTAGTTCTCGGCCCCGGGCCGCAAACTCATAATAGGTCACGTGACACTCATAATCAGTTGAAATCATGGACAATTTTGTTACTATATATAGTAACAAGCGTATTAATACCTAATTAACAATACGATAAAATATAAAGGTATCAATTTTGTATTTTATGGAAAAAAATTTTATTAGTAACTGGAATGAAGTAACAATGCAATTAAAAATTACGAGACACTTTGAAACACAGATTCTTTGATTGTTATTCGATGTGGCCTGATTGAATCATATGAACAGCATATTGACACCTCTTTCAAAACATTATGATGTTTAATTTCATAAGGATATTGTTAAACACATCGTGTTACAAAAATTAAAAGTAAAAATGTAGTATATGATAAATGTGACCGATATATTACAATCAATAGAAAGTGACTGCCACAAGTGCAGAAAGAAGTACATCAAGTGTAAGTTATGAACTTTTATTCATTCAATTTATGATTCATCATTATAACTGAAATTGATTTCAAATGAAAAAGGTTTGATGGGTAGTATTTGATTAAATCTCGTTTTGATGTTGAACGTCTATCAATGTCAGAGATGGGTACGATTTATATAACAGCAATAACATAACTTTGATATGAGTTAGGAATTATGACATTAAAATTTGTCTTTTGCTGTAGTCGTGTCTTAAAATGTTTACGTAGCAAATTCAAATAAGGAAATATTATTATTCATTATTACATTGATAATCTATTTTTGTGTCTGTAAAATGTGTCATTCACGTTCAGTCTGTAATATCTTGGTAAAGTTATCATTTATAATTTACAACATCTAAGTAAAAACAAACTGATTGATTTTACTGAATGAAACGTATTACTTTCAACGTTACTTGAAATTGAAAACAGTAATAGTAAAATAGTACCAAAGAGGGTGATTTCTACTTAGTCACAATATGATATTTCATAACAAGTTACGCCCATTGTGATACCAAAACACTAATAAATCTGTTTTCTCTTTTAAATGTGTCCATTTTCATTTTTTATTAAATATTTTTTAATCAATTAGGTATATACAAAAAGAACGATTGATCAAGTGAATTAAGATATTCCTTTTTCTCTATGATGTCAGTAAAAACCCACAAAGTAAACCTTTTTAAGCAAAAAATAACAAACAGTTAAATGTAACAAGATTGCAATTGCAGGTAGATGCAGGTGAATAAATTAAACATTAGATATCAAAACAGTGCAAGCAAGCATGTAATTTAAACCAATTACAATCAAAATAAATAATCAATGTATTTACTGAATATTAGGTGGTTTTGCTTCCTAATCTTGTCGAAGATTGATCATTGTTAACACAAAATGAATTTAACTTTTTTTCATATTAGACAAAATGATTGCCCCCTTGAAAATAGAAGATACGATATTGAATGAAAGTTGTGTATTGCATAAACAAAGTGTGTTTTGCCATTTTTATATTAATGCTTTAATCTGTTGTAGATACTGTTACATATATCTTACATGAACTGTAAGTTTAAATTTAAGGCACCGTAGAACATACTAAAAACTTTTATATATTTGAATCACGTTCTGTGCAACAAAATCCAACATTACAAAACATAAAGAAATCAATCTAAGCCGCTCATCAATAACACAGAAACACATTACATGTATTAACAAAATTCTATAAAAAACTAGCATAAAACTTAAAAAGTATTCACAGGATATTATCCTTTTGAAAAAAAATGAATAACATCAATGAGAACCAGCCTTATATCCGCACAAACACACACATCAATTGTTAAAGATATATGACAAAGTCAAACCAAATTGCCTTCAAAGAAATGAAGGTTAATAAACCTAAGTAGATTCAGTCATGTAAATTATGAGCTCTATACGTATCTCTCATTCAAAATGATAAACATTTCATCTATCTTGTAAAAAAAATTATAATACGAAATTAAAACATCAAGTTTATTCCAGTTTTTCTATAGTACAAATGGAAAAAAAATCTATAGTACAAATCGAAAAAATTTAAAAAGTTATTGTTATTTCCATACATGCAATCGTTCCAAAAATAACAATTGTAAACAAGATTGCATTTGAGAAAAATGCTATGCCACCGCATTAATACAACACTAAATAGTAGTGTAGGAACAGATTTTTTTTGTTTCTATACAATTTTGAAGATTGTCATAATGCATAGATCCCTGACTAATCTTATTCTTATTATCAGATTAGTGGTTAAATCTGTTGTTAACTCAATAAAAGATCAGAGTAGGAATATATCAATGCACTCGAGTCTAGTGAATTTGGTGGTGAAGGTCTAAATTTCATGACTACATCAAAGGACAACACAGTAAGACACTTTGTCAAAACCTAGGTCAGCTGAAATCAAAGTTCACTTTACATCTTAATCTGTGCACATGGTTCAAATTTCATAGCTGTACATCAAAGGACAAGAAAGTAGGTCACATCATCAAAATCTAGGTCACCTGATATCAAAGTTCAATTTTACAACTAAAACTGCGCACATGGTCACAATTTCATTGCTGTACATCAAAGGACAATAAAGTAGGTCACTGTCCCATTGGGCAAGTCAAAATTTTGGACCCAAGGATTTAATTCAAAACAATCTTGATACAGTCCACCAAACAACATTTCAAGTCAAATATCTAAGCTGTAGCTTTCTCCCATTCAGAAAACATTTGTTTTATTTTCTGTTTTTACTATGTGTACATAATAAGAATCACTGCCCTGGGCAGGGCCAATTTTGACACTAGGGGAACAATTTGAACAACTTTGGTAGAGGACCTATAGATGATATTATATAGCAAACATCAAAGCTCTATGCCTTAATTGTACCTTCAGACAAAAATATTTTTTTATATTTTTACTATATGTACATAATGAAAATCAATGACACCCGGGGCGAAACCAATTATGACCCCAGGGCTATAATTTGAACAATCTGGGTAAAGGTTCACTTTGCAAAGTCTCATGCCATATATTTAACCTCTAGCCTTTGTCAATTCAGAGAAGAAGATTTTTCAATTCAGAGAAGATGATTTTTTAAGTTTTTACTATATACATATATGGAAAACCTATGGCCCCCGGGGCGGGGCTAATTTTGACACTAGAGGCAAAATTTGAACGACATTGGTAGCGTACCTATAGATGATATCATTTAACAAATATTAAAGCTCTAAGCCTTGTACCTTCAGACAATAAGATTTTTTGATTTTTTACTATATGTATATATTGAAAATCAATGACCCCCGGGGCAGGGGCAATTTTGACCCCAGGGCTATAATTTGAACAATCTTGCTAGAAGTTCACTTCACAATGTTTCATGCAAAATATCTAACCTCTAGCAGTTGTCAATTGCTAGAAGAAATTTTTTTTAAGTTTTTACTATATACATATAAGGAAAACCAATGACCCCCGGGA